GGGCCGCCGTGTACACCAAATTCAAGTCAGACTCGCGTGGCCGGAACGCTCATTTAAATTAAAACGTAAGGCTAAACACATAAAGCACAAACACAAAACAAATAGAGCGTATTTTGCCATGACAGTAAGACGCACGCGGACGTTGCGCGGCGACAACGCGGACTCCGCTCTTCGACCGCGCTATGACATTAGTGTCAAATAAATGCGCCCTAACCGTTGTGTACCAGAGCTTTAAATAGCAACCATCTGAGGGGCACTGCTACTACGCCCATCATCCTGAGACATAAGTAGATAAGTCCACTGTGCCATTTCACCAGCATCCTGACCCTTCAAAAACGAAACACTGTAATGCTGACATTACTGCTTGGCGGCAGAAAAATAGGTAAGGCGGCAGTACTTCCCTGGACGAACTCTTTCACAAGGACCTCTACTGCTATTGAAGATACACAGATAAAGGCGTCACAGTTATAACTCCCCTCTTTTTCCGACAAAGTCTAAAAGCAAACACAAATAAAGCGAACCTGCTAATATGTTTACTCGCTTTAAAACTGTCATGTTTTTTAGTTAGTATTTTCTCAGTGATATTTGTTTTTCCATCATATTGGAATAAACAAACTAAAATATACATAAGATTATTGACAGTGAACTCACCCCAAAAAACCTCATTAAACATACTCAGATGAATTACTTTGTCTACAACTGGAACAAAAATACTTTTTTCAACAAAATTTGTTTATTTTATACATATAACCTGCGTCTCTAATTAAAGAAAAAAATAATTACTACTTTCAAAGGTAAACTGGATGGGTCTATAAATTTCAAATTTTTTTTGTTACAAACGTAATATAACTATAAATTTTACACTATCGTTCTAAAATTTAGGCGTTTAGAACACTTAAACGCCTAAACTTTAGAACGTTGGCAGGCAGAAGTAGGTAAGTTACTTCCCTGGGGCAAAAATAGATAAGTTGCTTCCCTTCTTTCATAAGAAGCTGTACTGCTACTAAAATTTTACTTTTTTGCATACCAAAAAACTATTAATTAATAAGTTCTGATGTCAATAATGTTTTTTGTGTATTAACACATTATCTCAATATGAAAATTAAATTCAAAATCCCCGAATGACTTGCCAATGAGATTATCTCCGATTTTATTACACAATTGAGGATGACTCTGGTTACTCTACATTTTCAATTATATTGCAGACAAGCCATACAGACAACACAGAGCCATCTTTATAAAACGAAGTGACAACGCACGTAGAGATTAACTACATAACACTAGCAGGCAGATAACAAAACCATTGTTATGCATATTACCAACCGAGTTACATTATGAAAACGTGAATATTCAAACAACACAATAACGTACACTTTTAATTGTTTTCATAGTCATGTTACCATAAAACATAAATTACTGTCTTTTGTAACGTTTATCTGCGACATCATAACAAAGTATTGTTTGCCTAGAATTAATTTGGTACATTTTCGTTGGCTAGACAAATTAAGGCAACCATTAAAGAAATCTGTGACATTTCTTATGACAAAATGCTGTCAATAATGACAGCAAATGGGTATTAATTTGCATTATTATTTATACATATTTAAAGCACATTCCACCAAAAATATTATACAAGACTATCTATTAATAATAATTCTACTTGACTTCAACGTTTAACAATTATTATTTTTATGCAGTTACTATGAATAATGTTTTGTGAAATTGTGTTTCTATTTATTAATAAATTAAATAAAAATATGAAATGAAATTAATGTAACGTTGATATAAATAATATAATTTCATTTTTTCATTATATGTAAACTCTACTGATCCTAAAAAGAAAGGATATATATACCTACACGTGGTCCGCCATATGGGCCTGAATACAAAATACAATGTAGTCATAAAAAAAAGAAAAATATAGTCGTTGTTTTGTTTTCATTAGAGACATCAATTAATCATTGTCATCAACTCATTATAGGTACGTCCCGCTGCTGAGCAGTTTAGAAAAAAGTCCGCCACACTGCCTGGCTCAATGCGGTTTTCACACGTTTTTCCAAATAGTTAGGAACCTTCTTCGATATCCAATGTTTCTCTATGAAGTTTTCCTTCACCTTCAATGAGAAGAACGTAACATATAACTGCCGCCACAAGGATTCCAACTGACAACTTCAATTGTGAAGCTAGCGTATCCGTTAAAGGCGTACCCCCACTAGACTATCACCGGTTCCATCAATGAATACAAACAATGAAAGAATATTCTAACTACTCGTATGTGATAGAATAGACAAAACGAATTGACACCATTGCATTGAAGCAATAGAAGTAGTCAATTGAATGTTTATTCAATGTGTACTCTCTACATTGTATTGCTACTATATTCGAAACAACTTTAATTTAAATTTTCAAATGTGTTTATCAAAGTAAATCACTTCTACAAGGCAGCCAGTCGGTGGAACCCGTTTGATAAGTTTTTGAACGAAATAAAAAAAAACGTAGCGCCTATACCATTCAAAATCAGGCACAAAGTTCACAGTGTCAACATATATACAGCCTCAGAGCAAATTTCAGTAATTCTACTCATAAATCAAAAAAATATAAGTTTGCTTAGTACAAAATAAATACTCATAATTACCTACTCGGTATGGGATAGCTTATTTTATTAGTAGGTATTATATGCTCGAGATTTGAAGGGTGTCGTCGTAGTTGAAGTATCGAAGTATAGAGTAACCCCTAAAATATCGTGAAATAAAAAGTTACATCCCGTGAAGAACAGGGTCAATAAACTTAATATTTAAATTCAACTCTATGACGCATACGATAAGATACGTTTCGTAATAAGAAGAGATATTTAATTCTATAATACATTTGCGGACTTTTTGAAGATGGAGTAAAATGACAGTTTATTGCAAATAAAAAGCAGCTAGTGATAGCAGTTAATAAATATTCTATCGACTATCGAATGAATATTGGTTATGCAATAAATGGCCGATCTTGTTTCATTTGAATTATTGTCAGTCCATTATTCGTCTTGGGCAGAGGTTCATTTGTTCATACGCACACTACATTTTGAACTTTAATTATACTATAATTACATTAAAAATACAAGGGAAAACATATTTCAAATGCGCATGTCCCTATTATAATGTAAATGAGTAAAAAATTATTTCGAAACCAGTAGGCCAACGGTCAAAATAGAAATAACGAAGACAATAACGCAATTACTAATCATTAAAACGTCGTAACATTTACAATGGAGACAATTTTGTCAAAATTATATCTTCTTTCACAATCTATCAATAAAGCACTCAACAACAACTACATGACTATTTAAAATTTTATGAAAACTGGTAAAACTTCAAATGTGTTTTACTCCGTCTTCAAAAAAGACAAACTACACTGCCAAAAAACAAACTGTGACCTATATTTTCGAACGTTACACGGGTAACAAACGTTTAAAAATGTAGGTCATATTTTCTTTTAAATAGAATAACTGCTAACGCGGAAAAACCGATAAGCTTATTTGAATGAGAGGAAAATTTTTCATCGTAAACGTTACGTACACGTGAATATAAAGTGCATGGTTGTAATGCAATTGTATGCGCATATGCAGATGATAAGTGTAGGAATTTGCCGGCCGTTACTCGTTGTTTACGTGTTCGGTAATGGCGTTTTTCGATGGACAAAGTTCTGTTACTTTTATTGATTTATAACGTGAACTTTGAGTCTTACAAAAATCTTTGCACCTATGCGTGTTTACCAAATATTTAAACATAATTTAAACAAATAATTAAAATACTACATGAATAATTTAGTAAAATTTATAAATTAGGAATGTGGCAATGTTCTATTTTTATTTTGGGCAGGCAACACTGTTTTTTTATTCTCCTCTCTCAAAAACCCCTGTAACGGCAGCTCTAAATTGAAATTATTTTTGGAAACATAGTTCACATTAGTAAATTCAACTAGCATTTTATTTGTACAATGCGTAATTTTAAATACATGTCTGTGGTGACATACAGCTTCGAGTTCCAATGCTAAAAACATGATTTAAGTTTTAAGTTTATTGTGAAAATTATATTGAATTTGTAAAAATACGTATTTACGTCATTATTGTAGCGTATTTGTTAAAATTTAGGGATGAGTTTTCAGTTTCTGTTTATTTTTCAAAACAAGAGCGGAAAAGTTCAAATAAATATCCAGTTACGTAAGAACGTAAATAAAACTTAAGTAAACACGTAATAAACACTGAAGTTTACTGAAGGACTCCATTCAGCACGCTTACGTAAGGTTTTATAGTTTTGTTATCGAAGTATATGCCCTTGTCTTGTTTGAAACGCGCGTTGAAATCACAATGTTGTGTGAAACGGGAAAAAGAACGGTCAAAGTCATTTTTCTTTAAAGTTTGCCCAAACTTACGAGCCGAAGTTGGAAAGTATTTTATATATACAGGGTGTCATCGTTACGTGTGCCAGGCGATTATTCCGTAAATATAAGAAACGTCAAAAACCGTTAAGCTGACATTGAAAGTACGTTACCTAATAATACCTACCTACCTAATAATAATAACTGCCTCACTGGAAAGACAAATCATTACTAACACTGGGCTGTCTTTCGCGGTTTTAGGTGGTTTTTATGATGTTGTTTCTGACGTTATACAACGGCGGGATCCAAACAATAGTTGAGCAATTTTTTATCTATGACCAATACAAATTAGACAGATAATTATTGTCGGCTAAATTTGAAAACCTCGTAACTCCGTTTTTGGACACTGATCCCACTTTTACTCTTCAAGCAATATCGGGTAAATAAAGCTTGAAATATAATTTCCAGACTTTTCCAGTTATAAATAGATCATAAATTGTCACATAATTACTTCTAGTAATTCTGTTTCTTATGCCTAAACAATATTTCGCATTAATGGAGGTTACGAAGGTTTACGAATTTAGCCTACGAGATATATAGAGTCGGGTATAAAAGCTACAAAAGTAAAACCTCACCTCAGCGCCATACTCTCTCCAGGGTGCCAACTGCCTCTCGGTCTCCCTAGACGAAACGAAGAGAGCAACCCTCTGCGGCTGCACTGCCCGCAATAAGCGCGGCAATGACCCTCCCAGCACCACCACATCATCTTCACAGGCGCCCACTGCTTGACGTATTATAACTTTTGATTCCGATCTGTAGGAAAAAACTTTATTGTTAAGTTTGTACTCAATTTGGTGAACCTGGAGTACAATTTAATTCGAAAGAATCTAACCTCGTGTATAGTTATATACACGAGGTTAGATATGCTCTAAGATACCTGTACCTTTACCATGAGTTCATAGACAAATTCGTCGCTAGCGACCGTGTAAACAGTTCTTAAAAATGTTACTTCTTGAGACCACTAAAGCGCGCTGTACAATTTACGAAATAAAATTGTCAAAAAGTTAGTAAGTATACGATCGCTAGCGACAACAGTCATAGTAAGCTCATGATAGAGCTCATGATCATTTGGTTCTGAGTAGATAAGCACGAGGAAAGGTGTTAAACAAACTTAACCTTTAACTTGTGAATTGTAAAATTCATTTTGATATGACTTCCTGATTGTAGCATTAGTGAATGAGGTTTTAAAAAAACATTTTAAACCAATTTGATCTTTAACATCTAAGCTTGAAGTCCCTTAACACTTTTCTGTTGAATGCGTAAAATGGCACTCAGAACCTAAAATACGACTACATGCTACCGTAGGGCATAGACTGTACATTAGGTGACATTTTACCATCAACAGCTGCAAATACGTATTTCGCTTACGCAAGTTTACTAGCGCGAAACTAGACTGTGTAACCGCCCTTTAACCTTATCGTAAACATAACATGTCTGTTTAAGAAAGTTTATTTAATGATGTTACCTGTATATCTCACTCTGGCCTGACGTGTACGACAGTGCAGTGCATCTTGTCGCGTGTATGGGTAAGACATCCTGAGTGATGTACTCCTCTAGCCACTGCACGCCGCGGCCAGACCCGTTGTAGTCGCAGTACACCACTGTTGGTACAAGAAAAACGTGAAATTTAGTTTTATAATTTAAAACCTTGGATTAATAAAGCTATAACACGTGCTCATACGTCGAAAGTGCTTTTATCAGATGAAATTGATAAAAATCATAGGAACTACATGAAGAAAATTATGTATATGTGAATTTTTATGACGCTCCTATTTAAGCATCCATAAGGTATAGGCAAATTTCTTCGTAGAATCTTAAAATCCCTCTTCTGGACCAAGGGGAATCCAAGGGGATTTAGTTGAAAAGCGTACCAAGACGCTTAAAGATGACTCGGATTTACTAGAAGTTACGCTGCATAGCCTTGAACACCGCCGTAAAGTTGCCTGCTTATTGGTATTTTACTGAATATATCACGGAGAGTGTGCGATGGTATTGCATGATTTAATTCCGCCTTCCCCGTTTCATCATCGGGGGACTAGACGTAGGCTGGAATTCCACCCCCTATGTTGTGGATATTGGAAAGATGCGCACGAAGCGTTACGCTTCCACATTTATATGGCGAGCGGCTAGGGAATGAAATTCCCTGCTTGCCTGCGGACGTATTCCCGAACGCTATCATTTGGACCTTTTCAAGGCGAGAGTGAATAGGCATTATTTAGGTGTGCATGCTACATCGTCGACCTCATCGTCACTTTCCATCAGTAGGATTAGCACGACAGCACGCGGCTTACGCGAGAGTGGCATAAAGCGCGACTGCTTTTCTTACATAGAGAATAATAATATCTCGCGCAACTATGTCGCTCTCGCGCAAGTTGTGCCCTACTGGTGAAATTTATATTTTTGTATAAAAATATCTAAAAAGTCAAGAGTGTGAATTGTGTAGGCGAATTTTGAAGTCAAAACAGCCATATCATAGGAAAGACTTGCTGTATTTACCACATGGGAAACACTTTGTGTCAGGATTATAACCAACTGTCAGCACGTGGTAAGAAAAAGCACATTGTAACTAGTGGTGGAGATTTCTATACAGAAACTGCTTGGGAATTCCGCCCCACTTAATTCTACTATAAAGCACTGCTGTGTTTCAGATATAAGTGTAGGAAAAGTCATAGCCAATACCTGGCCCTAGAGCAAAGAAAGTCTACAATGGAACGAGCTTGCACAGAAGATGCCTATGCAGTCGCACCTTAAAGATACTCAGGTTGTATGTGCTCGAAAACACAGTCGCAGGCAAGATATTCCATAATTGGACTGTGCGCATAATAACATGACGAAAAGACACAAAAGTCTATGTACCACGGCCAGCAATATATTTCTCTTATTACCAAGACTACCTTGACTTCATAAATGTCTAAGGCGGTGATAACCAGTTTCCACCAATTGACCACCTGCCGGTTTGTACACCAAAAACCATTTTGTTTCTCAAAAGAGTTATTTACATAAAACTGTAAATATTTGTTACCGTAACTATTCCTTATTACCATTTAATAAATATACCTTATTTTTATAAAAAACTGACCTCTATAGTTTGTGGACTTACATTAATTTGGCTAGTTTATATTGAAATCGGTGTGATGTGAAAGTTGATGAAATCCAATAAACCGTATTCGTCCCCTAATTTGCGACTCTTGGAGGTAGAATTTTTAATTTCTTCAAATTTTAATGGGTCCACTACTGAGGTACCCCCTTTCCAACAAAAAAGAATCACGGAAATCGCCTATCAAATGCGGGAGTAAGTAATCGCTTAAATTACACAAAAAAAAAGATAATCGAATTGAGAACCTTAGTATAATCTTAATTTATTATATTACACATAAAGTTTTACACAATTTTCTTCAATAAAATGTAAACAAGTCAAGAAATTTTAAAAATTAATTATAATTTATCTTCTGTTATATAAATATACGTGTACACATTATATGCCACATCTATAAACCAACTGACCGTTGAACGTTAATTAAATACGAGGCAACCATATCTCAATGCAGTTTCTAGTAATTAGTACTACAGACACTGATAAGGTATATATACACATACAATGCTTGTCAATATTCATAAATTAGTTGTAACCTAGTCAACTTCCTCGTGGAACGCTTTATTTAAATAATTTGTCGATTTCATGGTTACATTTGCAAGTTAAATGAAACTTGCATATTTTATATTAGAAGTGATACACCTTTTTTATCGACCTATGAAGGCTATAACTTGTTTGAATCCTTATCCTATGATAGAGTCAGATGGGACGGGAAGAACAAGAAGTTAAGCGACACGTCTGTACATTGCAGTAGCTAGCAGTGCTACTCAAAGCTTTAAATCGAAAAGATCTGATAGACACTGACACTGCGTTTGTCACCCTGAAACATAAGTTGACTAGTCCCATGTGCCTGTAATTTCACCAGCACCTTTACCCTTCAAAATTGGCAGTAATGCTCACATTGCCATCAACTTAAACAAGCAACAAATAATTAAGAAACTCGGAACGTAATAATACTTAAACTATAAAACCCGCCATTTTTTTATCTTGCGATCTACATTATGCTAGACTTAAATAAACAATAAAGAGTTCTTTTTTAAATTAATTTTTTTAAATGAATTTTACTACCCATGATATTCATTTATTTTTCTAAAATGACTCCACTATATTTCTTAGATTTGTCATAGGTGGTGCTACGGCTAAAAAGCCGATAAAACAAGGAACAAAGATCTGTAATAAACGCAAGAAATTCCTAAGATCCGGTTGCCCTAGCAAAGCTTAAGGATTAAGGAGAACGCTAAAAAAAGGTTGAATTTTGATAGCAATGTTCATACCATATGAACTACTCGCCATAATGTCATATCAAAATGTTTAATTTGAAAAAAGAATAACTTTAACCGTCTTTTGATTTCGATTAAACGTTCGGGTATTGTGGCCAGTGCAATGAACGTTTATTTTAATTATGTTCTAATTTTGTTTTATTAATATGGTATTGGAAAACGTTAATTGCAGTAAAGCCTGATTAATTACTACACCCACCATCATTGTACAATAACTCCTGTAACTTTTAGAGCAAAAAGCAATGGGTATAGTGACAGTCCAATGTCAAATCTAACAAATTTTTAAGCCAGTCACGAATTTTCGTAAGTCAATTTGTCAAACCAATTTGCCTACCCAATTATGCTAAACCTCGAGGCTACACACCATTGAAACTAGATCTCAGGTCGTTGTACTTGACGCCATTGTCAGAAGGCGTACGCTCCATAAGATCTTATCGGTCTAGGTAGATTCTAGCTCCCTACGTTCTAAATCTGAATGGTGGTTATCTGTTGTGCAATTGTTGTTACATTACAGGCGCTCTGTACAAATTATGGTATTAAAGATCTGTAAATTGGGCGTAATGGACATGATATTTAAGATACAGAATGTTGCTATCGATACAAATTCTAATAAAGGTTACGAATGACTTCATAGAATGTTTCTTTCATTGCATTTTTAAGAGTAGGCATATTAAAACGTCAACATTATTGTTGTTGTATACTATGAATAGCAATGGTATGACATCGCGATAGGCTACAGCCTATTGGCGTTACATCTAGTAGGCGGCAACCTCCAGTCCAAGCTATAATATTATAATAAGAGAAGAGCTCTAGTAGCAGAAGACCTCCTTGTTTAAGAGCTCGTCCGGGAAGCAGTAATGTGAGCATTACTGCGTTCCGGTTTCGAAGGGCGTACCCTTGGAGCTGGTGAAATTACAGACACGTGAAAGTTGTCAACTTATGTCTCAGATTTTTGTGATTTAAAGCTCTGAGTGGCACTGCAACTGTTAAGGACAGGCGTGTCGCTTGCCACCAGGTATCGCATCCCTCAATATTATAAAAAAAGACAAGTATGGTAACTCCATACAAACGTAGCAGCATGGCTTGTACGTGTGTGC